AAAATTTTTCAAAAAAAAATTAAATTATTTACAAAAATTATAATAAAATTTGTTGCAAGAATTCAATTATTTTCATAAATAATAAAATTCTTCACATGGTTTCAATTATTTTTAATACAATTTTAAAAAAATTTCTCGAAAAATAAAATTATCTTCAAAAATTTTTTGGAAGAATTAAATCAGGTACATTTCACTAATAATGAAATTCTTCGCTGAAATTCATAAATTTTCAAAATTTACATTTTTAATACAAATTTTCAAAAGAATATAATTATTTAAATAAAATGTAATAAAATTCGTTGCATAAATTCAATTATTTTTAAAAGTAATAAAATTTTCCACATGAATTCAATTATTTAAAAAAAATTGATAAAATTCGTTGTAAGAATACAATTATTTTCATAAATTATAAAATTTTTCTGAGGATTTCAATTATTTATAATACAATTTAAAGTAAATTCCTAGAAAAATGGAATTATTCTCTTAATTTTTTTGTAAGAATTTAATTACATTTCACGAATATAATGAAATTCTTCGTTGAAAATCAAATATTTTCAAAATCTACTATTTTAATAAAAGTTCTCAAAAGAATCCAATTACTTAACAAAATTTAATAAAATTCGTTGTAGGAATTCAATTATTTTCATAAATAAGAAGATTCTTTAAACTATTTCAATTATTTAAAGAAAATTTGAAAAAATTCGTTGCAACAATTCAATCACTTTCATAAATTAATAAAATTCTTCACAGGATTTCAATTATTTTTAATACAATTTTAAGTAAATTCTTCGAAAAATGTCACTATTTTCAAAAATTTTGTTAAAATTCTTCGAAAGAATTCAATTATGTATTTTATCAATTATGTATTTTTAAAAATTCATTCCGTAATGCTTTTAATATTCAATTATTATCTAAAATTTTAACTAATATTCATTTTCAAATCAATTTTTATTGAAAAATTCTACAAGAATTCAATTATTTAAATGCAAAAATAAATAATTTATTGAATAAATGAATGTTTTTCGAAACTAAATTATCATAAAGAATTTTATCAACAAATTTGAATTTTTTCGAGAAATTTTAATAAAATTTTCAGGAATAATTAAATTTTTCGAGGAATTCAATTAAAATTGTATTAAAAATGATTGAAATTCTATGATGAATTTTATTATTCATGAAAATAATTGAATTTTTGTAAAAAATGTTATTATTTATGAAAATAATTGAATTATTGCAAAGTTTGCTTAGAATTTTATCAAAAATTTTTTTCTTTTAATAATTGAATTCTTTTGAAAAATTTTATTAAAATTGTAGATATTGAAAATCATTGAATTGGGAAAATTTTTTTGAAAATAATTGAAATTTTGCAAAGAATTTTATTAAAATTTTTGAAAATAATTGAAATTTGGAGAAGAATTTTATTATTTTTAAAGATAATTGAATTTTTATGAGAATTTTTTTTAATTTTCGAACATAATTGAATTTCTGTGAAGAATTTTATTACTTTTGAAAATAATTGAATTTCTGCAATCATTTGTAACTTCTCAAAAATTCAATTTTTTCCAGTTACTTAAATAAAAATCCCTGACTTTTCCCTGAATTCCCTGATTTCCCTGACCTGTGGCAACCCTGTTATTCGCCAATAAATTATTGTCAAATATTATTATTATTTATAAATTATTACAGGAAAAAAAATTCAGACCGAAAAATTTAAGAAAAAATGTCTAAAGTACAAAACATCCAAAATAAAAATATCCAAAAACAAAAAATCCAAAATAAACAAAAACGTTCAAAATAAATAATGAAACATGTGAAGAGCTACGGTTTTCACTTTTTACGCTATAAAATCGGAATTTAAAATGTTAATGTTAAAATCGCAGGATTTTAATTATTCTCAACAATTTTGATAAAATTCTTCACAAAAATTTAATTATTTTTTTCAATATAATTCCAATTTAATTATTTTTTGAAATTTAACATGTTAAGTTTACCTACTTTCGATTTAGTTATCGAAATAAGCAACTCAAAAAAAGGACAATTTCATTCAAGGCAACCATTTAAATTTTTACATCTCAATTTTTTTTATTGGATTTTTAATTTCTTAGGACTTTTTGACCAGGACAAAAAATTTAAAAAATAAATCTAAAGTGAAACTATTTTTTTTTACTTTTTTGGATTTCATTTACTTTGGATTTTTTGGTTTGGACTTTTTGTTTTGGACTTCTTGTCCGGATACCTTTATGAATAAATATTATTATTATTTAATGTGACTAGCAAGAATTTGCGCGGCTAACTTCTGGCTTCCTTTTTATAAGAGCAAGAGTGGTCTGACGAATAATAAAAACGATATTGAGTATGAAATAACTTTAATTAACAAACTTTATTATACATTAGGAATGTTCAAAATATGTAAACAAGACGCGTTAGTCACGACGTATCGCGAACGAATAAAAAAAGTATATAGATTTGAATGAAAAAAAAAGAAAGGCGATAAATGCGCCGTCTATATGAAATTAAAATTAAAAATGAAACAATAATCGAAGGGCGCGAATTGCAAATCTCAACACTTTTTTTTTTAAATAAAATTAGCAATTTTAAAAATAATAGAAGGTAAAAAAAATTTAATTCAATTTTTTTTTTCATAAAAATAAAATATGAATTAGAATATAGTTTTAATATTATTATAACTATAATAATCATATATTCTGACATAGGGAATTCAGGGAAACGTCAGGAATTTTTATTAAAAGTACTGAAAAAAAATCAATTTTTGGAATCCATAAGAAAATTCTCATTTTTTGTGTCTTTTTTATTTGCCTCATAAACATATTTCAAAATTTTGAAAAATTCGAATAAATCAAACTCTTCTAAAATTAGTTAAATTTGTCAATATATATTTATTTACTTATTAAAAATAATGGATTTATAGAAGAATTTTAGTTAAAAACACTAAAAGAAATTGAATTTTGAAGAAGTTACAAATGATTGCAGAAATTCAATTATTTTCAAAAGTGATAAAATACTTCACAAAAATTCGATTAAGTTCAAAAATCTTTAAAAATTCTCGTCAAAATTTCAATTATCTTTATAAAAAATAAAATTCTGCTCCAAATTTCAATTATTTTCTAAAATTTTCTTCAATTTCTTTAGAAAATTTTAATGATTTTCATAAATAATGAAACTCATCACAGAATTTCAATTATTTTGAATACAATCTTACTCGAATTTCTCAAAAAATGTAATTATTTTTAAAAATTTTATAAAAATTCGTCAAAAGAATTCAATTATTTAAAAATTTGTTGATAAAAGTACAAGAAAATGTATATGATCTTGTACGGGTTCATGTACATTTTCTTGTACAAGTTCAGCTGCTGAACGTGTGCATTTTCTTGTACAAGATCTTATACAGGGATTTTCAGTAGGGATCCCTCCCTAGGTGTGTAACGGAGGGTTAAAATTGTATAAAAAATAATTGAAAGACTGTAAAGAATTTTATTATTTAGGAAAATAATTGAATTCTTGCAATGAATATTTAATAAAAATTTTTTTAAATAATTGAAATCCTATAAAGAAAATTATTATTTATGAAAATCATTGAATTCTTGCAACGAATTTTATTACATTTTTTTAAATAATTGAAATCGTGTGAAGAAAATTATTATTTATGAAAATATTTGAATTATTGCAACGAATTTTATTAAACTTTTTTTAAATAATTGAATTCTCGCAAAGAATTTTATTATTTATGAAAAGAATTGAATTCTTGCTACGTATTTTTATTACATTTTTTTAAATAATTCAAATCCTGTAAAGAATTTTATTATTTATGAAAAGATTTGAATTCTTGCAACAAATTTTAATAAAATAGTAGATTTTGAAAACAATTGAATTTCAGCGAAGAATTTTAGTATTTTTGAAATGTAATTGAATTTTTCTAAAAGATTTTGAAAATAATTACATTTTTCAAGGAATTTATTTAAAATTTTATTAAAAATAATTGAATGATTTCAATTATTTTTAATAAAATTATTTATGAATTATTTATGAAAATAATTGTATTCTTTTATTACATATTTTTTTGAAATAATTGAATTCATGTAAAAAATGTCATTACTTATAAAAAGAATTGAATTTTTCCGATGTATTTTATTAAAATTTTTGTAAATAATTTAATTTTTTTTTTTGAAGACTCGGAGTGATGGATTTCTTTATATTTTGAATTTAAAATTTTTTAAAAATCTTAATTCCTATGGAATATTAATAATAATGATTAAATACGCATTTAAAAAATAATTTATTGATGTTTTTGAATAATTTTATAATTAAAAAAATTCGTAATTAAATGTAGGTAATAGAACGTTTTGTTGCGTATCTAATCATTTTTAAAGTGAATAAGAATATTTTTTAGGGTCAGGGAAAAAGTCACAATTTAAGTCTGAAAATCAGAGAAAAGTCAGGGGAAAACAAAATTAATTTTTTGTGGCAACCCTGTAAAAATCTTTAAAAAAATTTGTTTAATTCTCTTCTTGTAATATGTAACAATTTTCGAAAGAAATTTTTGCAATAACTATAATTTTACACCAGAAAAGTCCGCTTAATTGAAACTGACATAATTTACTTGAGCACGGTTCAAAAATCTAGATTTATAATTTGATATTTATTAAATTTAACAGAGGATAATTTATAAGATTCCCATTCAATAGAGAAAGTTTTTCATTGGTTACACTATTTATCAATTCATATGGTTATCTATTAAAAAAACTTTTTTTCCAATTATTATTATTTACAAAAATGAAATATCGCTAATATTGAGTGAAACCTTTAACTTTTTTAATAAAGTTTTTTTTTATTTATTTATTCATTTACGGGCATTGTGTCCCATTCGTGCATAAAGTACTAAAAGTATTTAACAGTTGTAAAAATATTTTAAACATTAAGCTGTGTTGTTATTATTATTGAATAATATTTTACGTAAATTTTTATTTATTTATTTTCAACAGAGTGGGCAAGAGCGATCAGGAAGATCAAGTAGGCTAGGATCAGTTTCGTCTATATCCTCAGAAACTCCTTCGCTGCCAACGAGAACAAAATCTGTGACCTCGGAGAATGGGGAGCTTGACTACAAAAAATTATACGAAGAATCACAGGCAGAAAATGAGAGGCTTCGAGAGAAACTTCGAAGATCTGACGAACAATTAAGAGAAGTTCGCGGTCTTCTGGATAAAGCGCAAAGTACTCAAAATAAAAATAATCTTTCGGAAATGGAGAAAAGAGAGAGGAGAGCTATGGAAAGAAAACTCTCGGAAATGGAAGAAGAGCTTAAGGTAAGATTCCATTTATCAATTCACATGATTATATTTCTTTTTTAAAAAAAAAACCTTCTGTTTCGACATTATACAATTATATTACGGGCATATTTTTTTAAGCAAAAGATATTCAATGTAAACTCGAATTTATTTCTTTTCTATTGCTCTTTCAGTGTCTCACTTAACAAATTTTCCTTTATTAAGAAATGCACGTCCAAGTTTTGAATTCTGTTTTGATATTTTGTGATTGATTGCAATGAATTTTTTTTTACCTTTCTTCTTGGCTGTATCTCTACTTTATTGATAATTTTTTTTTATTTTTTAATTCAATTATATATTTTTTTTTATATCGTTTTACTATACGAGATTATTTACTCGGTTTTGAATTTTATTTTTACCAGTCAACTTATTTTACCAAATTAATTTTGGTCCTTGAAATTAATTTCCTTCTCTTCTTTTTTCCACTTTGAAATCATTACTTGGATACAGTTATCGATTATTATTTTTTCAGAATGAAGAAAGCTTAGCGCATTGCTTTTTTCATTATATCATTTATTTAATTTTCATTGATTAGTCTTTTTATTTTTAAAAATCCTTGGATTGAATCAGACGGTTGGCAAACTTTTGCAGGTACCTACATTTTTTTGTTTAACTGAAACCTAATTCTGTTTCCTCTCTGCTCTCTCGCTCTTAAATTTAAAAAACTCCCATTTTTAATTATTTATTGATTTATCAGTAGATCCAATTATGGCTCAAAATTTCTGAAGCGTGTCACTAATTTTTCGATAGAGATAATTTTATATTGCATATCAATAATTTTATAGTATTTTCATACCAAAATGTGACCTCAAAGTTGATTTTGCAAAATTTTTATTTTTTTTAGAGTTATTGTTTAAATAATTCTTAAGCATCACATTATTGAAAAATTTTTTTCCTATCGTTCTATTTAATGGATTTTAATAAAATTTGGTATAAGTAATATACAATAATCATACTTTCAAACAAAAAATATTTGTTAGATTTTGTTCATAATTTGTTTAAAATAGCAACAATTATTATAAACAAATAGAAATAAAATAAACTTCTCCGTCTAATTTCGTATTTTCTCTGGCCCTGTTTTATCACGAGTATTTAAAAAAAAGAAACGTCAGTACCTATCACAATTTTTAACAAAATTAAAAAATTTTTTTCCTCTCACTCAGAACTAAATTCTAGAAAGATCTGTGAAAGTCGATTTTTTAAATTTTGTTTTATAAACTTTTAATGTTAATGTAAAGTGTAAAAAAATGATTTTTTAAACTTTTCAATATATTTTAGACAAAAATTTTTTACATACTCAACATTACATACATTTATGTCTGGGGGCGTGAAAGTATTAAAAAAATTGTTTATAAGAGTGTAAATTGTTATAAACAAATTATAAAAACAATTACACTTTAGGCAAAGATATGACTAAAAATTATTTGTTTGTTTTATAAATTTACTTCAGCTAATTGCGAATGAACTTTCTTTTAATAAAATTTATGTTTTGCAATAAATAATGAATAAAATTTTTTACAACTAATATTTTTTCTAATCGCCTGGAAATTAACCATATGAAAAAGTTATTTTGCAAATAACTTTATCATTTTTATAAACAATATTACACTTTTGGCAAAGTCGTGTCATGTAAATAAATTTAAAAAAATTATCGAATTAATAGAAATTTTGTGAAATTCAACTGAAAATAATTAAATTCGTTAAAGAATTTCATTAAAAACTTTTTAACAAATTGAATTTTCAAAATATTTTAATTTAATAATTGATAAATAATTGAATTTTATAAAAAGTCATATTCTAATGTATTCATGTTTCTTAGTGCGAAGATTAATAATTAAAATTTTTATTAGTTAATTTAAAAAAAGATACACTTCGAATTTTTTAATAAAATTGAATTTTCGCAAAGTTTTTTTAAAAATTATGAAAAATAAGATTTTTGAAAATTTTCAATTCTATTTTTTCAAGATAATTGAATTTTTATAAACAAATAATTGAAAATTTTTGAAATAATGGAAATTTTCTTATATTCTATTAAAAACAATTAACTTCATTTAAAGAATTTTATTTAAATTTTTCGAAAATAATCCAGAGAAGTTAGTCACCGTAATTATAATTTTATGTTTAAAAATTTCTTCGCAATATATTCAATTATTTTTAAAATTTTATTCGAATTCCTCAAAAAATGTAATTATTCTTAAAAGTTTTATTAAAATTCGTCGAAAGAATTCAATTATTTTTAGAAACTGTTAAAAAATATTCTTCTCAAGAATTCAATTATTTCCATAAATATCAAAATTCTTCAAATTTACTAAATTTTTTTGAATATTAGAATTTTTAAAAAATATTCTTCACAAGAATTCAATTATTTTCATACATTTCCATAAAATTCTAAATATCAATTCAATTATTTTCAAAAGTAATAATAAAATTCTTTCCAGAAATTCAATTATGTTAAAAATTTTTTTTTTAAATCTCCAAATTTCAATTATTTTTATAAATAATTAAATTCTTCTCCACAATTCAATTATTTTCAAAAATTTCAATAAAATTCTACGCAAACATTAAATTATTTCAATAAATATGTAATAACATTCTTTGGAAGGATTCAGTAACTTTTATAAATAGTAAAATTCTTTGCAGAAATTCAATTAGTATCAATACATTTTAATAAAATTGAATTAATAAATTTTTCAAATATAATTATAAACATACAAGATTATTTTGAAAAATTGAAAAAATTCTTTGTTTAATTCAATTATTTTCAAAATTTTTGCATAAAATTATTAAAAAGACATTATTTTCAAAAAATTTGAAGAAACTTAAGTTTCTTGACAATTGTCAAAAGAATTTAATTATTCATAAAAACTCTAATAAAAATTTTGGAAGCTGCATTTATAGATTTATTTATGTTCGAAATCAAATAAATTAAAATTTGATGAGAAAAAGAAATCGGGAAAAATTAGGACAAACCCTAGAATAAAAACCGGTTAATAACTGGGAATTTTGTTGAACGAAAATAGTAGACAGCCTGAATTTAATCTTAATTTATAAAACAGACGATTAATTGTTTACCAAGAATGTTTGATGAATACAATTGTTTATTCAATTTGTTTATAAAAATAATAAATTATTTAAAAAATAATGTATTTTTTTTTGATAATCTTCGAAAATGCCCCTAAGGTGCTATTGTTTATTAAAATTGTTTAAATAATTAAGAAAAATTATCGCAAAACATCAGTTTCATTAAAAAAAAGTTGAATTGCAATAAGCTGCAGTAAATTTATTTAAAAAAAACCATTTTTTAGGCATAACTGCGTCTAAAGTGTAATTATTTATATAATTTGTTTATAACAATATGTAATCTTAGAAACAATTTTTCACTACTTACACACTCCCAGACATAAAATGAATCCAATATTGAGTATGTAAAAAATTTTTGTTTAAAATATATTGAAAAGTTTAAAAAAGGTTTTTTTTACACTTTACATTAACATTAAAAATTTATAAAACAAAATTTAAAAAATCGACTTTCATGGATCTTTTTAGAATTTAGTTATGAGTAAGAGGAAAAAAAAATTTTTTAATTTCCTTAAAAATTGTGGTCTAAAAGTTAATTTGAACCAAATTTTGTCTTTTTATCCCACTTTGGAGCGCAGTGAGCGCGCGGTCACAAAAATATTAATAACTTTTGACTCAATGCAATATACTTTTCTTTTTTATAAATATAATATAAATACTCGTGATAAAACCGGGAATCATAACTGACCAGAAAGAATACGAAATTAGGCGGAGAAGTTTATTTTATTTCTATTTGTTTATAATAATTGTTGCTATTTTAAATAAATTAGGAACAAAATCTAACAAATAAATAATTTCTTGTTCGAAAGTATGATTATTGTGTATTACTCATACCAAATTTTATTTAAATCCATCAAATAGAACGATAGGAAAAAGTCTTTTCAATAATGTGATGCGTAAAAATTATTTAAACAATAACTCTAAAGAAAATAAAAATTTTGCAAAATCAACTTTGGGGTCATATTTTGGTACGAAAATACTATAGAATTATTGATATGCAATATAAAATTATCTCTATCGAAAAATTAGTGACACGCTTCATAAATTTTGAGCCTTATTTGAAGAAGAAAAAAAGCAGGTTTAATTAAAGAAAATAGTATTAAAGAAAAAGTTATTTATTTAAAAATTGTTTGTAGAAATTTGATAATGAAAAGGAAAAATTGAATGAAGAAGAGAGTAACTAAAAATGAATACGGTTGCTTTAAGAATAGAATTGACTTGTTTATGACTTATCGAATAAATTGTTGACTGCTTGGTTTTTTGGGGCATCTGGGTTGATATCTGGGTTGATTGGGCTAACCGTTTCACTGTTTACAGCAATTGCAAAAGCTCAAAGCTGAAAATGAGAGATTGAAATCCGAAAATTGGGCACTTACCCGCGTGGTAGCCAAACTCACCAATACTACTAAATAGGTAAAGGATATAATGACAAGCATCTGTGTTAACAATGTAAAATGGTACATTTTATGTACGAGATTAATTACATTTTTATGTTCTGATCTGCAATATTAAAACTTGAATTGTCCATTGCTACACTCACTTTCTTACACCACTAAGCTTTTGCAGATAGTTCATTTTTCGAGTTTTGGTTACTCTTACTTTAATCATTCGTTGTCGATTTATTGACTGAGCAAGTAGCGTTTCACTGTTGTCATATTCGTGATGTCTTTTTAAATTATTCATTATACCTATGGGTTGTTCACTTTAATGTATCAATCAGTTGTAACTGTATATAATTTTAATAAATATTAAACTTGTACTATTGAATATTAAAAAACTTGAAGAAGAATACTCATATTATCTTAATGTTTCTCATGCTTCTTTCTATTTATTAATTTATTTTCTCTCTCATTTGAGGGGTTACGCCATCTTTAAAATAGGACGGTTTTTTAAAAATATTT